TTTTCTAAGTGCAAGTTCCGTATACTTAATTTTACCTGAATTATATTTCCATAATTCTTCATTAAGTTCTGCTATTTGTACTTCAGCTTCTTCTTCTGTAATAAGTTTTTTCCCAGCATATAATGCTAATATTAGATCTATTGGGATATCTTCATTTTCGTCAAGTGCCTCTACTTGTGCCTCAAGTTCTTTTGGTACAGTAATCATTCTTTCAGAACATTCTGTTACTTTTTGCTTCACGTGACTTGTTGTTTTTCTATTGTTGTTTTCCATTATTGTTGTTGTTTGTTAAGGTTGTTTATCATTTTTGTTTATATTCGTCACGTGGTTTTTGGCGTGTTTCCTTTATTTATTCTTCATTACGTGTTGTAATTCTTGTGTCACCAAAACAGATCTGCATTACAGGGTCAAGGCTGATTCCCAAAAAATTCGCAAAAAACAAAAAAGACTGATAGTTTTGCAAGATTTCTTCTATATCCTTGCCGCCTTTACTCCACTAACTCAAGTCTCTTAAGAGACTGAGTGCTTTCTGCCACCTTCTTCCTTTTTTCTTAGAGCTTCGAGTTTGGTTTCTTATTAAACTTTGTGTGTTTTTTGAAGGTTTTTGATAATTTTTGTTTACGTAAATTTGTGTACGCTTATATTAATCTATTGATTCTTCTATTTTTATATAAGTTTCATATAAATATATAGTGCAACATTGTGTGTAACAAATTTTTGTACCATTCTAGCCACACCAGCTACAAGCCACACCAGCTACCTTTGTACTACCTTAGAACCTATAGGTTACACAAGGTTACACAAGCCGCAGTAGCCGCAGTAGTAACCCCTGCAAACATAGATTACCCGTGTTAAATATATATTTATATATATAAAACTTCTAAAGCTTATAACAGAAAATTTTATTATGGAAACTAAGTTTGGGCTCTTAAGTAAACTTAATCACTACCAAAAATTCTACAACATGCCTACTCTTATTAGTCAAGAACCAGATTATTTTGATCTCGATTACTTCCACAACAAATACAATGATAGATATGGTGCTATGATGCGAGAAATACATCTAAATGAATTTAAAGCAATGCCCTTTGCTTTTAATCCAGATACTTGCAAAGCATCCAAAGTTCATTATTTTAGAATTCAAAATCAACCAGCTATTACTTGTTGTCTTTGTCAAAGCTATCATACCTTTCTTATATCTAGCTATCTTAATGTTCCTCCTCGACACTCAACTCCTCCTCCTTTAACCTCTAGTGCTATGGATATCGATATGACACCTAAACACGTTAGAAAATCTAAAGATAATGTTTCACAATCTCCAATACCATTCCAAAAATCAACCTCTGCTCCAACTCTTCCATTTCCACTTAACTATTCTTCTATTCGAATTGAATCAACACCTAGCAAACAAGTCTCTAATCAAGTTCAAGTATACTTTTACTATATCCACACTTGTATCATCTGCAAACAAAAAGATATTCCTTGTGTTTTCTTACATGATAAATCTCATGCTCTTATTGACAAAACAACTTGGATCATTAAAGGCTTCCCTGCTCACCCTCTTTGTATTTATAAACTTAAAATTAAATATGCACTGCAATCTCAACCACTTACACACACCCAAAAAGCAGTTTTTTATACTTTTTTGATCTCACAAATGACTAAAGAAGATAAGAAAAATTTCTTCTACAAACCAGGAAAAATTATTTCAAAACAACAACAAAAGCAAGCTACTGGGAAAAATAATAGCAATACTCAACAACAACAGCAAAATAACAAAACTAATCCTCAATTTGATTGGCTAGTCAACTTTCCTATTACTGATGAAATAATAGACAAAACCCAACTACAAACTGACATTGCCAGAAAAATTTTTAACTATCTTAAACTAAATCTATATGATTTTTATCTAGAAAAGGAAATTAAAGCAGCTACACCCAACCGAAAACCTCTTAAAGCTAGCTTCTACCAGATCATTCACAAAATAGCTGGTGCAAGACCCCAATTTCTCATTAATTTCATTCAACAAAATAACTTAAATATTGACAAAGCCATTACTATTCTATTCAACATTTTGGAATCAACTTTTAAACAACTCACTTACAAATTTACAACCATCTTCTTTACCAAACTTAACTACCCTAAAATTTTTGCCTCATCCGCTACTATCCCACCATACAAAAATCAAAATCGACTTCAATTTTGTATTAATTTAACCCATCTTCACCTATATCTTTCAGACAATTACCAAACAATTGACTATACCATATTTGGAGAAGATATTAAATCTCATCTATTATTTCAGAATATAATAAAGAAGGAAAATA